AAAAAAAAAAAAAAAAAAAGAAAGAAAAGAAAAAAAAAAATTGGCTGAGTGTAGTGGCTCCCACCTATAGTCCCAGTTACTCAGGAGGGTAAAGTAGAAGGATCACCTGAGCCCAGGCAGTGAAGGCTGTGGTGAACCATGATAGTGCCTCTGCAGAACATTTTCATCACCTCAAAAAGAAACCTTGTATCATTTAACTTTCACTCTCATTCTTCACTCCCCACCTCCAGCTCTAGGCAACTACTGATCTGTCTCTATAGATTTCCCTATTTTAGACTTTAATATGAATTGAATTATATAATGTACTGTTTTCTTGTGATTGGCTTCTTTTACTAAGGATAACACTTTAGTTTCATCCAACTTGTAGAGTGTGTCCATACTTAATTCTTTTTTTTTTTTTTTTTTGAGTTGCAGTCTCACTCTGTCACCCAGACTGGAGTGCAGTGGCCGCTCCCGGCTACCGCAGCCTCGACCTGCTGGGCTCCGGCGATCCTTCCGCCTCAGCCTTCCGAGTAGCTGGAATTACAGGCATGCGCTACCACGCCCAGCTGATTTTTTGATTTATTGTAGAGATGAGGTCTCGCTGCCCAGGCAGGTCTCGAACCCGCGGGCTCAGGCAATCCACTCACCTCAGCCTCCCAAAGGCACGGGATTACAGGCTGAGCCACCGAGCCCGGCTCTTAATTCTTTTTTATGACCAATAATAGTTCATAGTATAGACATACCACATTTTTGCTTATTCATTAATCAGTTGATGGACATTTTGGGTTGTATTCACTTTTTTTTTTTTTTTTTGAGTTGGAGTCTCACTCTGTCCCCCAGACTGGAGTGCAGTGGCCGTTCCCGGCCACCACAGCCTCGACCTGCTGGGCTCCGGCGATCCTTCCGCCTCAGCCTTCCGAGTAGCCGGAATTACAGGCGCGCGCTACCACACCCGGCTAATTTTTTGATTTATCGTAGAGATGAGGTCTCGCTGCCCAGGCTGAACCTGCGGGCTCAGGCAATCCACTCACTTTAGCCTCCCAAAGGAGCGGGATTACAGGCTGAGCCACCGAGCCCGGCGTACCCACTTTTTTTTACAGTTTAAAGATGTGGGGTACAATTCAAGATTAGGTACATAAGTGATCAATGTACAAGTGAAGTTTGGGCCCCCCACTGGTCCTCACTTCACCTGGTTTAGGATCAGGTACTCTAATTGATGTCATGTGCCCTCCTCCCCGGCATTGTCCTGCAACTGCCAATTTCTCTGTTGTAGTACACCGTTTTGCTATTATGAATAACACTACACTAAACATTCTTGTACAAGTATTTGTGTGAACATATGTTTTCATTTATCCTGGGTACAGCCATAGAAGAGGAATTGCTGGTCATATGGTAACTCTACATTTAATCATTTAAGTAACTTCTAGATTGTTAAGTGATTTTTACATTCC